AAAAACTAACAAACAAAAACCAGAAAAGAATCAAAATCAACAACTTTCGAAGAAACTGGTCCACTAACTTTGAAAAAAATAAACTTTAAAAAATCACTTGAAACCCCCCCACCCTCACCCCTGATTTCCTAGAAATTTTCCTGCACCCTAGAACTGACACAAGCAAAACCCACAGGCAGAAGAAAAAAAAAGAGGAAGACTCACATGAAGCAGAGGTGTCTCTACGACCTCCCTCAGCTTGTCGATCTGTTCCTTGCAGCCTCCAACATCGCTGTAGGTGACGTCTGGCTTCTCCTCCACCTTGGGAACACACAAATCGAAACATGATCTTTCCTCACTTTCAAAATTCTCTTTTGAGTCTTTGGGGTGAGGCAGATGTGAGAAAAATAAAACATATTTATCATAGGCAAACTGTTCAATTATTATTTTAAGCCCAGAAAGCAAATGTTTTCAGGAGAGAGAAGAAAAACAACCTTTAAGAGATTTTGAATTTTAAGCACACAAAGAGATAAAACCTTTATCATTTGTATTTATCTCGGAGCAGAATAGTCATTTCCGAACATCAAGGAGTAGGCTGCACACAAAGCCGGAGACAAAATGTATTTTTTAAAACATCCACTAAAAGCAGATAGAAGCCTTTTGATCTCATATGACGATATGACATTTCTAATGCAAACAAAGCCGATGGGAACATTCAACGCTCAGGAGAGACGTCAAAATGAACATTTATTGCTCACCTGCATCATGGTCACTGTTGGGTCGATCTTGGGGGGCAACGGTATGTGAATCTGATACTTGTTCCTGTCCACACTGAGAGAAAAAAAGGATCAACAGTTACTTCCCTTGTAGAGTGTCAGAGATGAAAAAGGTATTGAACTATATAAAAACTTTCACCCAAACCATCAATTGCTTATCCCTGATTAGATAATGATTTTCAAGTTCAAATAGATTGCAATAAACACCAACCTTTTGCCTCTTTATTTTTAGATTTAGTCAGAGTTTAACGGCACTTGCAACACGTAGAGGCAATAAAAGCACCGAAGATTAGAAGTGATACTAGAAAAGAAAGAGAGACAAGGCCAGTAGATGTCCATCTCGTTTTGTTATAGTAAGTGTTTTACAGCACTTGCAAAACAAGGTCATATAAGTGCCGAAGATTAGAGGTGTTACAAGAGAGTAACGAACACAAAAAAGAAGGAGGGGAGATAAAGAAAATATATGTTTGATAGGAAAAAAAGAAGCAAACCCCACCAGAGCGCCCATCAACCACCTACTCTTTGGACAATCCATCTCTGCTTATGAGTTTGATTTGCAAACAAGAAGACGTTTAATAGACACAAATAAAATGGGGTTAAACAGAAAACAACTACACAGAATAATAATTGTTTCTCATATGAAAATATCAGATATAACGGTGGGGGGTTGGGGGGGGGGAGAAACCAAAAAAAACCCAGTACCTCCGAAAAACACAAAGAGATGAAAAAAGTATGACATTCAACAGCAGTCATGACATGGACCAGATGCTCTCACCCTACTCTCATTCCCTCCTCGATGTCTGTGGGCGCCACCTGCTCGCCGAGATCCACCACAAACTTGGCAAACTGCTTCACGTTGATGATGTATTTCGGATCATCGGAATCAGCATTGATGATTTTGGTACATCTGGCCACTTGCAAAGGCTGCTCACCTGAGAAAAGATTTGGTCACATTAGAACTAAGCATGCTCGAGGAAATCTGAGTGTCTTCTCACTTATATATATATGCTTTGTGTTATGCCAAGAACACGAAAAAGGGCAGTTCACAATGTTTTACAGTGTCAATTAAGCATGTGTATTGATTCTAAAAACATTTTCCTTACAACAGGGAGAGGAAAAATGGACAAATTAATATATTTTACAGCGTCTGTTACAAGCATTTATAGATTCTAAAACTGCTCTTCTTACAGATGATTGTTTTTAAATACGCATCTAAAAAAATACCACAGAAAAGAGTGGGGCAAAAAGCATTCCATTAATATCAAGTTTTAGTAGTACTCTTTTATACTCATTTTGTAGGATAGTTAAACATTTAATTCTTGCTACTAGAAAAACATTCTGATCCTGCATCAAGAGTGTACAAACAGAGCACCATTTGCATTTGTATTCAAATTTCATAAAACTCAAATTTACTCTTCGCCTTTTCTCATAAAGAAAAATAATATATTCAGAAAGCGCAAATCGTAATGTTTAAGAGTGAACGCAGTGACTATGCAAGGGCAGTGATAGTGGACAGTGTTGTGGCAGTGGAATGTTGCTGACGAAAACAAAGGGAGGAATTCCGTAACAAGAGACCACTATGAAATAGAAAGAAGGTTATGGATAGAGTTCAGGTTTGGGTGAAGATAAGGGTTAGAGTTAGGATTTACGGTTAGGGCTAGGGTTAGGTATCTTCTTTATATTATTGTGTTTGTTGGGGGAGGGGGGGGAGGGGGAGGTCGCTCGTTACGGAAGTCCTTCCAAAACAGCTAATGGAAAAACAATCCCTAAAAATGTAAAAAGCAAACAGTCTAGTTACTTTGTAGCGTCTGCTTGTCAGCGGCGAGATCCCACAAGGCCGGGGGGGCCAGGCCCGTGTCAGATTCCTTGATGCCCGCAAGTTCGTTGACACTCTTCAGCACATTTTGGATGTCTTCCTCCACACTCTTTATGGCCTTTGTGTACTGTCCTACGCCCTGTATTCAAATCAAATCAAAGAACAAATTTGATCAATCATACATTTTCAAAATTTTATTACATGCGCAAGAAATGGAAAAATATCTTTGAACACAATCGAACGTGTTAACCATTCTTTGAGCGCTCTTCATTAATAAACCATTACTGATAGAACAGACACAGAGGGGTAAAATCAATCTGTCGATTTCAAACAACGCTTAAATCTAAACACTCTTGAAACATCAAGATAAATAATTGTTTTTTAGTTTTAGTTAAGTAAGAGTTTTACGGAACTTGCAACACAATATATGGTCCTATTTTAAATTCTGAAAAGAATGAATTTGTAAAATAACAGAACCAAGAAAAGAACAATTATAATCACAGTAAAGAAAGTGTGTTTCATTTTCTTATGTTTTTTTTCGTTTGATTAACAACCATTTGCAAAGTTTTCTAATCGAGCAATCCATCTACAATGAAAAAAAGTAAAAAAGAATTCAATGAGAAAAATCTCATTTTATAACAAAATTAAATTTACTTACATATGTTTTCAGCAGGGCAATATCTCCTTCATCAAGGGCTGAAAATGTAAAGACAACATCAAATTTTGAAAAAATCTAACTAAATGGGAGAGTTGTAACAACAAAATACAGCTGACAACAAAGAAGCTGACATTATTTAATTGTGAATTAATTAATTTCAGAGTAATTTTCAATTTGTCTTTCACAACCTACATTCAATTTCTTTTCTTTTAATGAACCCTTTCTAGCCACACAAGCTGTTTAGACAAACACAACAAAACAGCATCATCACAAAATTGTGACTTTTTGCTTACACAGTATGACAAAAAGGACATGTTTAGCTTATCATTTCACAGTAACAAACTAACAGGTCAGAGTAAAAACATAATATAATAATGATTTGAATTATCAAAAATATAACTAACAGCGTACAATTTTGTCTGTGGGCAGTGGAGAGAGAGAGAGAGAGAAAGAGAGAGAGAGAGGAGTAGCGCGAGAACTTCCGGGCAAAACCAAATGGCGACCCGCGTAGTTCGGCTCAATTCTAAAAGTTAAATAGCCGTAGCATCTTTGTAGACGACCAAATTAATTTACTTTTGTGCTTTAACATCATTTTTTAACTTTGTTTAGGTCAATTTGATCGTCCACACCGATAGACAGTATTCAGAAAGAGATAGAGAGAGAGAAAAGGTGAGGAGTAGATCTTGAGAGAACTTCCGCGCAAAATAAAATGGCGACCCCCGTAGTTCGGCTCGATTCGGAAAGTGAAATAGCCAGAGTATCTTTTTAGTCTATAAAATTAGCTTACTTTTGTGCTATAAAGTAATTTTTTCTTTGCCTTTATCCGATCCATTTGATCATCCACATCGATAGAAAGTATTCCAAAATTAGGAAAAACAGGTCTTGTTTCACACCAGGTGAGAATAGCCTACGGTGGCAAGTCTCACCCGGGGTGAGAGGTCGATCGTATTTCTATTCTCACCCCGGGTGAGAATAGCCACTTCTTAAAGTTAAAGTAGGCACTTGGATAAAAATTTCAAAGCTTTCAAATTGCTTTAAAAACAATACCAATGCAAAGAGCTCAGTGACACGATTCCAACGCTACCTTAGTTATTGCTCTATGTTGAACCGTTTTTGAGATATTGCATTTTAAAGATCTTTTCGAGGTGATAACATCTATATAGAAAAAAAAGGCAATTTTTGTGATCGAAACAGCAAGGACAATAAGGGAAATGTAAGCTGCTTCAATATGCTGCTGCGTACATGCTAAAACCAAACATTTTCTGAAACCTTGTGATATTGAGGACAAAATAACAGTCAGACGATATTTTTAAAATATGTCGTGGTGGGTAATATTGGGTAATATTATGTAACACTGTGTTGTGTAACGTGACCGCATCGTCCTGCTGTCAATATATTTTGCCATAACTTTCTTATAAATTAAGCTACATCAATAATTGAGGTATCATTTTGAAGGTCTTTTTAAGGCCTTTCTTTTGGAACATCTACATATCAAATATCAGTAGAATTAACAAAAAACTGATTAAAAAATATAATATATTTTAACAAAACAGCTGGTCGCCTAAAATAAGATGAGCATAGAAGTTTTTAAAGTTAACATTTGTGTCTACAGCTGCTGCAAACTAGTGTTTTTAGTCTACCTTAATTCATGATAATACTGTTTTTTAAATTCATTTTGCATGTTATTGTTAGAATGTTTCTTTCATGTTTTAATTTGTCATGTAAATGATCAATTACTCTGTCTTTATCTTTGATTTCTCTTTTACATCTTTAACTCATGAGATTGCCCTGTAAGTTAAACAATAGTCTCTTCTAATTTTATTACTTCAGTTTGTTCAGCAAGTTTTTCATTATATTTTTTATTGTGTTTATTTAAATGTTCAACTTCTTCAAAGACAATTAGTTGTGAAATATGACATGTTTTTTGAAGCACGCAATTGTGTCACAATACTTATTTATTCTTTCTTTATTTCTGGCAATTGTTTAGTTCACCCAGTCTGCCAACTTGATATTGTTAAATTAATGTCAATTTTTTTTTCTTGTCTGCAACAAATGCTTTCTTAAGTGCTCAATTTTTTTGCAACTTGTTCAAACAAGTTTTTCTGTGAATTCGACCAACTCCGCAAGCATTTCTGGATTTTAATTAAAGTCAGGATTTATTCTGGTGAGCTGTCAATAAATCCAATGGAACAGTGGCAGGTTGTGATCAGGGGCTGTGGAAAGAAAAAAAAAAGCAAAGCAATGAATTCATCAATGAAGTAAATAAATTCATTTGTGAGCAGTGGATGGAAATTTGACATTTTCACACTACAACTCTAGTAAAGGGAGAGTGTAGATGACTAGACAAGAGAAAAAACATCTTCTAATAAACATGTATCTTAAAACAAACTGGACAAAGTACATGAAAATTTAAAGAGATATTTAAATAACAAGCACACACAAAAACAATTAAGAAGAAAAAATATTTAAAGACAATATAAGCACACAAAAGAAGTAAAAACTTGCGTGAAATCGATGGTCTAACAGTGAGAGTAACACAGAAACAAAACAAGGCCAAGGCTGTTACATTTCCCTCCCCCCACCCAAGACTCCTTACTGATTGTTACATGGTGCAAATTCATAAAAATTATACAACAGTGATACATATTACATTCCAAAATTTAAAATGAATCATATCTTCTACTATAAAACATTCTTCAATGCCGTTTAAGAGGTAATAAACGCCAACAATACACGTTAGCGTGGGTTAAGTTCGCTTTCCGCAATGGCCGCCATGACCTCCCGGTTCACGCTCAGCAGCGCGATCGATAATAGGTCATGCCCATTCATGGAGAGTGACCTATTTAAATTAGGGCTCACACGCTTATGCCTCAACGTACAACATTGAAATTAACAAATAAAAGAGATAAAAGGTTGAAGAAAAGACTGTGAGGAGTACCTAAAAAAAAAAAGATATACTCTTTAAATATAAAGGCTTGAACTTACCTTATTTTTAACTCCTTGTAACTCCGAACACACACAACCGATCCCGAAGTGGAAAACGCCATAATACGCGCCTTTCTTTCCTCTTTAATTTGATAGGCGGAAGTAATCCATAAATTGAAAAGAACACTATAAACGAAACAAAACAAATAGGTACCCCCCTCACGGGGCCCGATTTCTGACACAAAACGCGGCGGCCGCAGGTGAACGAAAATCTCGGGCCGCGCGGGCCGATATCCAAGTGCCTAGTTAAAGTGTTCATGGGTCACAGGACAGGTCACAGGGTAACAGGTCCAGCCAATGGGAGGACTTCCGTAACGAGCGACCACTATGAGAAAAGTCCAGCAGAATTGAGGGGTAGATCTAGGGGTAGGGGTAGATCTAGGGGTAAGGGTAGGGGTAGGGTTAGGGGTAGGGTTAGGGTTAGGTCTAGGCCTCTTCTTTAATGTCTTTATAAAGTTTATATTGTGTTTGATGGGGTGGTCACTCGTTACGGAAGTCCTTCCCAGCCAATTATAGCCCGGTTTATGTCCTCCCTTTAGTCGCATGTGAAAAACAGGCCAACCCAGGCAAGTCTCACCCGGGGTGAGAGGTCGATCGTATTTTATTCTCACCCCGGGAGAGGACAGCCACTTCCCTAGAATAGAGTCAACAACCAGAGTCAAAGAGTCAGCAGACAAGAATGGCAACAAAGATCTAAAATTTCTGAGCGTACTTACATTGGATAGGTTTTTCCTCCTCCTCAGTGTCATCCTTTACTTTCCTCTGATCGGAGCCCAAATGATCAGGCATTGTAGAATTTGTAGAAGTACTTAGGGAGTATAATTTAGACTGAATTTGCTGTTAGATCAAGTTGAGGCTTGGTTCTTGTGTTACTGTTTCACCGACTCGTTTTTGTGAGAATTGGAGAGTTCTTATCGTGAGACAACAATTTTCATGAGCACTTCCGGGTCCCACCAGGGATAATGATGGTTAGATGTTCAATATTTTTACTCCAATTAATATCGGTCCAAATAAAACATCATGACATTCTAGTCGGAACATGGATTTTTATAAGGTGATGGAGCAACCTAGATTCTATATCTAGTTAGGAAGTACTTCGTTGCTCATATGTTAGAAAAAAATGTTCTCGGAAATGTCGATAAGTTTTGTTCATTGGCACTCGCCAAGTGTGGACCAGCAATGTATGTTGCAAGGGGGATAACTGTTGGAATGCTTATGCGATTAAGAGGAAGGAGTTAGGCTGGGCTAGGCCTACTAAATGATCTTTGTCTACGGTGCAAAAAGACGCAACCGCAACTATAAATGTACTGTTTAAAAATTTTGGGTTTGGTTGGGTGGGGGGTTGTTGTTGTTTTTGTTGGCTTATTTGTTTATTGTTTTGCTTTGTTTTGTTGGGTCAATGAAGCTGTAAAATGTATACTCAATGGATAAAACAAGCAAGCTGCCAGCTGTTCGTTTGGCCTTTGACCTTCTGTGGCAGATGTTCTGATACCACCAGTAGGACAGGAGGACCGGAGGACCGTTCACAGGATGGGAGGACTGCCTGAAGGATCCTAGGATCGCCTGCAGGACCAGGGGACCATCTGCAGGAGTGGAGGGCTGCTTTCTGGACTGGAGGACTGGAATTGAAAGCATTTTAGTGCTACGAAATGCCTTCTATTGAAAAGCTTGCTTACCCTGAAAAAATGTTTAAATTTTAATGGGCATAATATGAATATTTTACTCAGTTCTACTCGTAAATGTTAGTCTTACTTTGACCCTTCATTGTTGACCCTTTAGAGCTTGCATCTTGACTTAGCTCCAACCCCACATTGTTGACCCTTCAGAACTCATATCTAGGGGCCTACTTTATTGCTCCATCCACTTCTTGACCCTTTAGAAGTTGTATGTGCCTTAACCTAACTCCAACCCCATGCTGTTGACCTTCTAGAATGGGTATCTTAACTTAGCTCCAACCCCATATGTTGTTGACCCTTTTGAACACGTATCTCGACTGAGCTCTGGTCATTCCTCAGAACTTTGACCTCTCATTGTTGACCACTTAGAACTCGTGTCTTGACAAAACTTCAACCTCTTGTCTTTGACCCACAAGAACACTAGTTTGTAATAGGCCTATATATTTTTGTAATTTCTTAAAATATCCTAATAATCTTTTTTGGGTCTTTCCTTTGAACTGCATGTCATTCAGAATGTGTCTCTTTGTGTAAAATTGGAACTATGCAAAAGCTGCTTTTGTGCATCAAGTTGGTATTTTAAATAAATTTATTTCCCAAAGGGGGGTATCAGCATGTTCTTAAGCACAGTGGAATAGTAAATGGACTGATTTATCAATGGCATGCTCATACTGTGCCGGAACAACATAGGGGGAACTGCTGCCTTTTCTTTCCTCAATCTTACTATCGTCATTTTCCCACCACTTCTTTTGTATGTTTGTCACTCTCTTGTGACCCGCTATTTCCGGGGTGCCTTGATAGTCGAAGCAGACAGACTTCGTGCTGTTGAAGCTAGAGAGGTGAGCAGAGTAAGCCTGATTCCCTGTTTGGACTTCTCTGTTGACACCCACCCCTTGGCGGTCACATGACCTTATTAAAGCAGTTGCGAGTGCCGTAAAAACTCTACTAAAAGAAACTTAAATGACCTTATTGCGTTGCAAGTGCCATAAAACTATTATGAAAACGAAAAAAAGTCTGTGGTGTAAATAGAAGTTTGGCTCTTCCCCATGGCACTCAGAATGGGGAGGATTTGTTTTAAAAAATCTAGTTCATGAAATATCCCTGTCTGCCTGCTGAGATGCCGGTTCTCTCTCCTCTCTGTCCTTGTTGGACGTGACAATCAGGACCAAAGATCAAGCCTGCCCCACAAATGATCGAATCCAGTAGATTAAATGTTTACAATTACAATTTATATATGACCTTAGGCAATTGCGAGCGCCGTAAAACCTAGATCTAACTAAAACTAAACTAATTAAATTACAGTTTTATTAAGACAGGTCGCTGCGCCAGAATTACAAAGTTCTTATATCTGCGTAGTGCCTAAACTCAAAACGGCCAAAAATGTCAGATCATCATCAGTGCCTTTCACCCCTGGCAGGGTATAGGCCACATACAAGCTCCTTCCCTTTATTCTGTCCTGGGCCATCCTTCCTAGGTCGTTCCAAGGGAGCTTCATATCTCTCGTGTCCCTTTCCAGTCTAGGGCTGGATCCTGCTCGCCAAATTTGAGAGTGGCGATTCGCGATTCAGTCGGCTTCAAAGAATCGCGAGTACGCGAGCGTTCGTGGAACTGTGGTGGAACACTGACTGAAACGGAATAGTGTCATATCAACGCCACTTGGCGAGTACGAGTCCCACGCTTGTTGTTCCGCCATCCTCTACGCCCCACACCCTTTGTTTCGTTGCTCTATCAGTATCAACTGGCCTCAATTAGTGACCCCCATAAATTCACCCCCCCCCCCTCCCCGAACCCTATGATTCGCTAAAACAATGGCTCCACAAAATTCCTTCTGACTATTGGTTTATTTTGTTTTAATAAGGGGGGGTTGGACTATACCATCTTTTTTAAAATAAGGGGAGCCATACTAAGTGTTCCGTTCCGTTCTTGCGCTCGTGACTCGACTCAGCAGTAGGTCAAGGTCCAGGTCTGGCACTGATAACATAATGTTGGTATGAATATTGAGGTAATAAGCTATCTCTTTGTGTCCATGGAGATGTTTGGATGAGATAGGAGGGGTGCGAGTTGGTAGGTGACTGCGTTGGCTTTTTGAGTTCGCATTTCTAATTCTCTGTCTATGGACCCGTTTTCAGAAAAAGTGCTGCTAAGATATTTAAACTCCTTCACCTGTTTCAGTTGTTTACTATCGACATGGATGTTCAGGAGACTATGGTTTCGGCTCACTTTCATAACTTATGTTTTTGAAGTGCTTATTTTCATGTTGAATTTCTCACAGGTGTTGTTGAGTCCGGTAGTGTAATTTTGGAGGCTTTGTTGGTCATGATGAATAAGACATTGGTCGTCTGCGAACGGAAATTCATTTAGGCTTTCTGGGCTTTGGTTTGCTTCTTGCGTTATTGAGTCCATATATATTATAAACAGGAGGGGAGATAGGACGCATCCCTGTCGTACTCCAGATCTTACTTTGAACCAGTCTGTATTGCCTTCCTTCGTTCTTACTGAGCTCCTGCTGTTGGTATATAGAGCTTTGACATTACCTAACATTTGTCCTCTGACGCCATACTTTTCGAGTGTCTTCCAGAGCTTTGTATGGTTTACTCTGTCAAAGGCCTTCTCCTGGTCTATAAAGACGATGTTGGATTCTTTGTTGTGTTCGATTGTTTTCTCGCATATCCGTCGTAATGCAAATACGGCATCCGTGTATTTTCTTCCCTTTCGGAATCCAAACAGAGTTTTGCTCAGATTTCTCTCTACAATAGGTCTTATGCGCTGCTGTAGTACCTTGGCATACATTTTTCCAGAGTGGCTTAACAATTAGATGCCTCTATATGTTGTGCAGTCGCGTTTGTTGCCTTTTTTTCTATAATGGTACCACTATGGCTTTCTGCCAGTCTTCTGGGCATTTTCTTTGTTCCCAGGCTCTGTTGAAAATACGCCTCAGCCACAGTATACGGGTGTTTCCACAAGCTCTTATGGCTTCCGTTGTGATGTCAAAGGGTCCCGGGGCTTTGTTCTTGGGGCTGGTCTTGAGTGCCTTTTCTATTTCACTGGGAAGTATTGGTGGTTCTGTTCGATCTCCATAAGATGGCTGGAACTCTACGTGTTGTCCGTGGCAAGCGTCTGGGTTGAGCAGTTCTTGGAAGTAATTATTATTTTCCCATCTTTTCTTAATAGCATATTTGCTGAGAAAGGCGTTTCCTTCTTTGTCGTTTATAATGCATGTCGGGTTGAATAGGTCTTTCGTTATCCGCATGCTCTTCACACTTTTATAAAATTCTCTTGCGCTTTCCTTGCAGATTTTGGTTAGTTTCTCGACATATTACATTTTCCATGCATTTTCTTTAGCAGTTTTGATGATTCTTTTGGTCTCTCTTCTCGCTTTCCTGTATTCTATACAATCTTCTTCGGTCATTGACTTCTGTCATTTCTGGAATTTCTTCTTTTTCATTCGAATTGCTTCTTTGGTTTCTTCTTTCCACCAGCATGTTGTTCTGCCTTTGTTTCCACCTATTCATTTGGTGCCACAACAGTTTTTCAGTATTTCTGACAGGGATTTTTTGAATATTTGCCATTCGTCTTCTATGTCCTTGATCTCATGTGACAGTTTAGAGTATTCCTTGGTAATGTCATCCTCGACTGCTTCCTTGATGTCTGGTTCTTCCAATTTTCTCAGGTAAGCCGTGGTTTTTCCCCTGTTCTTCTTTGTTCTCTTTACGTTGTTGGTTGTGAGAGTAAGTATCACAGGTCTGTGGTCCGTGTCGATGATGTAGTTTGGAACCGCTCTTGAATCTTTGGCTGTATGTCTTTGTTTTCTGCGCATCAGGATGAAATCAATTTGTGATGCATGGTTCAGGTCACTCCATTTGTACAAGGTCTTGATTTGGCTTTGTCTATGTTGGAAAAATGTGTTCGTAATCATCATGTCGTTTTCAGCGCATAGATTTAGTATAATTTCTCCATTGCTGTTTCAGTCTGTATCTTTATCGCTGTAGGGTCCCAAGTACTCTTCCTAGGGGGTTCTTCTTCGTCCAACTCTGCCATTTAAATCTCCCAAGATAAATATATTTTCTTTGTTCTTGATGGTGTTAATATGGTCACCCAGGCCTTGGAAATATGATTGTCTATCTTTTTCTGTATAACTGTCGTTACAAAGAGCGTATTTTTGGATGTAGATTGTTGTTTTGCCACCCTCTATGAGTTTTATGCTCACTATTCTCTCTGAGATCTGATGGATTTCTTAGATTGTATCGATTTTGG